ATGAGTAAATGCATTTAATATTATGAGTCTCATATAAATTAAAAAAATTAATTATTTTAATAACATATCAATTTATATAAAAAGATGAAATAAAAAAATTAAACAAAAAGTATTTTCCAAATTTAAATTAGACGAAGCGGCCTAATGTGGCATCCACGTAAGCAATTGGGACCTACATGTAGGCGGGACTTTTCCCGCTTGTCTAAGGAAGAGAGAAAAAAAAAAAAAAAAACATACGCACACAAAGAAAATTCAGAGTTTGTGTAAAGTAACCAGTCATGAATATCTACAACTGCAGAGGCCACCCCATTAATATTGACACTGTCCAGAAAAATTTTTTGACAGAATATAAAATTTAATCCCCAATTCATTTTCATTAATCTGCAATAACAACCCAACATGGTTCAAATAAAATTCAAGATTATTGGTTTTGAATTCGTTTTTGGCACATGAGGTAGTGCCTTGAGCACTGAAAGGTTGAGAAGCTCTAGACAGTTCAGAATGCCAATCTCGATTCATTAGCTCGGTTGGTACACTGTCGGCATAAGAGCCAATAGGAGTCAGCAACATCCATTCAGCTTGTAATTAACTTCTGACAGGCCAGTAAGGAGTCTGATGATTTTCCCATAATATCCCTTCTCCCAAATCAACTGGTTTACAAATTAAGCATTATCGTATCTCTTCTGAGCCCAGTCGGTTTCTCTTTGTCGTTTTGTAACGTGCGCTTCCCATTACTCAAGAGGAAAATTCCAAGCACATATATAATTAAGGGAGCCATTGAAAGGTCACCAAAACACCAGAAACAGGGACTGCGTAGGGTCTTTTGTCCGAATTCTGTAGGTTTGTGCAACTTGCACAAATTTGTAAGGGAACGGTTCTGACAGTGTTAGATATTTTAAATTTTGACACAGATGGTGGCTCACTTTCTTCTGCAGACATGCAAGACCAACATGTAGGCAAAATTAAAAGGGAAATTGTTTGGTGTAAATGTTTTAAATACAATATTTACGTAAAACATGACTAATATTTTGTGATTAATTATTTTTATTTAAAGGATTATATATGATATTATATTTGTTAATTTATTTTTTTTGTAAACTTAATTCAATTTTTAATTTTTTATATAAAAATTTTAAATAAAAATTTAACCATTTATATACATAACAAT